TTCCACACTAGTATTCCAGAAGTACCAAAGACAAAGCAGTTTGGAGTTTCAATTTCATGGTAAGTATAAAGAAATACAAATGAATGGATGAATGGGTGGATGGATGGATGGATGGATGGATGGATGGATGCATGGTTGGATGGATGGACAGACGGACGGACGGACGGATGGATGAATGAATAAATGGATGGATGAATGTATGAATGAATGAATGAACTTTATTTCAAGAGGGTAACACACAACAGTTATGATTTCTTTAAAAATCGTAGTGATAACCCAGTGGCCCTAAAATACACATCAAATACATCTCATTCAATTGGGCAAAATGTTTTCCCATTTTAGACCATATGCCATTCTCTTGATAATGGATTCTTTGTTTGATTTGTATCTCTACCATTATCAGTGACATGACCATTATAATCATAAGCATCATCAGTCATCATCAACATCATCATTATCAACAACATTGTCACCACTGTCATTACCATCATCACCACTATCATCACCACTATCATCAACACCACTATCATCAACACCACCACCACTACCATCATTTACATCATCATCATCACAACCATCATCACCATCACAACCATCACCTTTACATCATCCTCACCATCATCATTGTCATCATCACCCATATCATCATCATCATCACCACCATCATCACCACCATCACCACCATCACAACCATCGCCATCATCACCTTTACATCATCGTCATCATCACCACCATCATCATTGTCATCATCACCACCATCGTGAATAACATCGTCACCACTACCACTATCAACATCATTGTCCTGCATAGTCACTATCATCACTACCAAACTATCACCATGATCAGAACACATAATCTTACAATTGGTCAACATGACCACCACCACCATTACCACCACCATCGTGTATTCACAATAAAATTGTGATAATCGTCATATACAACATATCAGACCGGAGCGCGATGTCGAAACCAGCCTGAATGCACACACATACCAGCATGGAAACAAGGCCTGTAGTGCTGTAGCACCATATACGAAATGCTACAAAGAAAACACAATCCTAAAATATGCCGCAAATGACAATCTGGCCTAAAACTCCAATAATGTCGTTGTACCTTTATCACCCACAGTTACAATGTTTTTCAGGATAAAAGAAAATGAAGGTGAATTTATCCCAAGATGCATCAGAGTTTCAGTTGAATTCCTTAGAGAAAATGGTAGGTCAATAGATTCTCTTGTGGCAAGGGARAAAACAACATAATGTTCCCCAGTTTTCATCCCTCCTCAAAATCCTACATGCTATATATGCTAAATTCCATGCAAAAAATCACTCAGTGAGGTTAGCCATGCCCCGACTTAAATCAGGCCAGAGGTTGTTTCAGGGTTCGATCTGTGAGTTAGCCGTGTCCTGATTTAGATCAGCCCAGAGGCTGTTTCAGTGTTTAATCTGTGAGTTAGCCATGCCCTGACTTAGATCAGCCCAGAGGTTGTTTCAGGGTTCAATCTGTGAGTTAGCCATGTCCTGACTTAGATCAGCCCAGAGGTTGTTTCAGTGTTTAATCTGTGAGTTAGCCATGCCCTTACTTATATCAGTCCAGAGGTTGTTTCAGGGTTCAATCTGTGAGTTAGCCGTGTCCTGACTTAGATCAGCCCAGAGATTGTTTCAGGGTTCAATCTGTGAGTTAGCCATGCACTGACTTAGACCAGCCCAGAGATTGTTTCAGGGTTTGATCTGTGAGTAAGTCGTGCCCTGCCTTTGATCATCCCAGAGATTGTTTCAGGGTTTGATCTGTGAGTAAGTCGTGCCCTGCCTTTGATCAGCCCAGAGATTGTTTCAGGGTTTGATCTGTGAGTAAGTCGTGCCCTGCCTTTGATCAGCCAAGAGATTGTTTCAGGGTAACAATAACATTTGAAAGTTGAATTTGATGTATAAGTTGACACTTAAAATAAGAACAAATTTTTAGAATTTGAATCACATTAAAATTACTAAGTTATTCAAACAGGTCTTGATGTGGAAGGCATCTTCAGAAGATCAGCTAACAGTGCACTTGTCAAGAGAGTGGCTGAGATGTTTGATCGTGGACAACCAGTTGAGTACAGCGAGTTTGGTGATGTTCACTGTGCCGCAGCTATCATAAAGAAATTCCTGAGAGAGTTACCAGAACCTCTACTCACATTTGAACTCTGCGACATCATATGTTCCATTACAGGTATGCAATTTTGCATGGTAAAAATATTTTTAACTGCCACAAACAAGTTAAAAGTTACATTTGCACTTTTACATTTTGACATAAATTTATGTCCAGCGACAAATATTTMTCATGGTGTATACCTCATACTAACTCACCTCTCATTTATAACTCATTATCCATATGCAAAAGAGCACTATATAAAAAAATCATTAATCGTAAAGAATTAAAGGAGCTTTGTTGCAGGAAYTGTGTGAGAATTATGAATGATGATTCGAATCATTGCAAATTTTTTTAGCTATATCAGATCATGATGAAAAACTGATGAAGGCATGGAGTGTCCTTCATGATCAACTACCTGAAGGAAATTTCAAGCTGTTAAAGTACATAATGGTTTTCTTGAAGGAGGTAAATCTTTCCAGAAACTCATAGGATGGTTGAAACGTGTAATAGCCAAACGCAATGTTCCAGAATATTCAACTTTTTTCTTGACAAAGTTCTTTCCAGTAAACCACGTCCTCTCGCTTTAAAAATTAMCAAAACTAAAATATTAAGAAATAAAGAGATTGAAGAAATAGAAAATGCGCGCRCGTGCTGTGTGCTGTCATAGTGGAGTGCTTCTGGACACTTCTCAAGTGTTCTGCCAACCCCAAGTGCTTTATAASTGCACACAGCACAGCAARCAAGTTTTTTATTTCTTTTATAAAATACAAATTACAATAATAGATAGGAATGAAGCAACGGAAAGTGCRCGCGCKTGCAATGTGCTCTCATAAAGCACGCGCTCCAAACCAATCAGAGCGCAACATTAATAACAGTTATTTTATAAAAGCCAATTGTTTGATTGAATGATTCAGTAAATGTTCTCTGAAAGTCAGGAAATTCAGCTAAAAAATTGATATGTGATGTGAAGTGGCTATCTTAAATCAATGCGTAAAATTACAAATGTGGTCTCAAAACTACTAATTTGCATATCTGAATATTTTGGAGCWTGGTTGTAGTGTTACACCTTTCAACCCCATTATAAGTTTCTTATCCAAGAGTGAATCACAAGATCAATAGACCGTTTTCTCAAGGTTGCGTGCTAATCCAATTCAACTGGCCACAAAACTGAAAAACAAAAATTCAGTAAAATTGAGATGTCAGTTATATTTAGAATAGAATAATCAATTTTATGAATTCTTATCGAATGGTGATGGTAATGATGATGATGATGATGATAATGATAGTGATGATAAAAATGGTTATGACACTGCGTCACACAGTACAGCATTATCATTGATGTCTTGGAAGGATACTCAAGAAAGGTCAGCAATGTGATCAAAGACCTTGTTGGTGACAAGAGCCRATCAATGGCTCTTCATATGCAGTCTGTTATAAGTTCACTTAACATTGCACAAACTGTTAAGATTTTAAATTGAACATTAGATATATAGTTTAGAATTTAGTCGCCAACACTTCAAAGATAATGGTAGTAATTTTTCTTTCTTTATGTATCTTTCAAGGTTCAGGAACATAAGGTGACCAAAATGACGGCAAGTAATCTAGCAATAGTATTTGGTCCTAATCTTGTATGGGGAAAGGACGAAGCCACATCACTTGCCGCCATGGCACAGGTCAACACCTTTACCTGCATGATGCTAGCGAATGTAGACTACCTGTTTGGGGATGCTGACAGTTAGCTACRACCAAGCCACATCACTTGCCGCCATGGCACAGGTCAATACCTTTGTAGACTACCTKTTTGGGGATGCCGATAGTTAGCTACAGGCAATGGTAATCCTTAGARAATGGCAGTCAGAAGAAAGGTAGGGAGATCTTACGTTTATATGCTCTTGTGAATAGTTTGGGGTGCACAGGTAGCCCAATAGCCCAAGTATATTATATTCCTGACACAGGTAGCCCAAGCATAGAGTTAGTGGTGTTGGGAGAACCTACATAGCATTACATCAGTAATGTATGATGTACATAATGTATTCAAAACGTTGTTTGTATTCTATTGTCATTCTATCTGTTAGATTAGGTGTGATTCATTGTATTTTTTGAATACAATACATCAWCTGCTTGCTAACACAGGTAGCCCAGACATAGAATTCGACCATAAAGATATATTAAAGTAGCTTAGTAAGGCATCTGGTTTCCRTGGAAACGACCAGGAAAATTTGATAACCTTGATTTATTGGAATGAATCAYATATGGTTACTATTTAAAATAATTTATGTGGTATATTTCTCATTTAGATACCTGCGTAATAGGGGCGTTGCTCAATATAATAGTGTGTTGTGTACCTCTGACTGAAACTGTATTTCAATTTGGTGCTTCRTTCTAAATATAATCATTATTTACAGTGCTTGCCAATTAACAACATGCAAAATAATACAATTTGCCGTCACAACAAAGCAGGCWTTTAGTGGACGTCATTCATAGTGTTTCCATAACATCGCCCTAAAACACACTTTTTTCAAGAGCCTTGATTGACCACCAACTAAACCTACTTTTTGCAACGGCAATTTCTATGA